AAAGGTTTGGAGGTGCCAGTTGGAAAAATCAGCCCTAGAATACTGTAAGCTGAGCATAATGAGAGATTCTGATGGGCACTCAGAAGACCAAAATGCTGATTTAAAAAAAAGAACAGGGTAAAGACCAGGCTCAGGTTTCAGTTGGAAACAAGGACTCCATGGCATTTGGACTGGAGATCATGTTTGTTATGCTGTGTCAGAAAATCTGTCATTTTATTCATGTCCTGAAAGTTTGGGGGAGACTGAGATAAAGGTGGCAGACTAATCTGGCTGAGAAAATTTCAAGGTACCCCAACATTCAGGCTGTGGCATAGGTACTGTTGGGGGCTTTTATTTATTTTTTTGGTACCGGGGACTGAACTCGGGTCCTTTTGCTTGTGGGGCAGGTGGCAGAACCACTGAGCTAAATCCTGGGCCCTACTGGGGGCTTTTAATGAGCTCTACATTGAGAAACAAGAGCAAATGGCACAGCTGGGTAATTTTTAAAGTTCTGAGTTTCATAAGAAAGGAAACTCCTGTAAAGTTGGGCCCTGTAAAGTTGGAGCAAAAGAGAGCTTGGTGGCTGAAAAGACTAGTGTTAAAAGGGCTGGGGATTTAGCTCAGTGGTTCCACCGCCTGCCTCAAAAGTGCAAGGACCCGAGTTCGATCCCTGTACCAAAACAAAAAAGAAAAGAAAAGTCTCAAGATTAGTGTTAAAAAGAAGACAAACACTTTACATGGAGACATTACAAAAGATGCCTTGAGGCCACAGGAGGAAAGACCCTACCCTTCACAGACTCAAGGGTAGAAAAGTTAAAGACTTTACTTTGAGAAAAGAGCCTCAGGGTCCCCTACTTGAGAAAGGCCACCTAGGAAATAGGAAATTGGCTTCCTAGGATTCCATTCACAGTGCTCAGCCATCCAGGCACTCAGGGGCCCCTGCAGCCATGATGCAAAAGGGCCTGGGGGCTGCTGGAATCAGCACAAACCTTGGTCATCCATTGGTGCTGGTTTTACACACATGCAGAATGCAAGAGTTGTGGGGTTATGGAGGCTTCCACCCAGATTTCAGAAGAAGACCTGAGAGGCCAGGCAGTGTGCTCCTGAGAGGGATGTTTGCAAAACTGTGAAAGTGAAGCCAAAAATGTACTGGAGACTAGGAAGTTGGAGAAGTCAGGAATACACCATGTCTGAGGAAAGCTGGAAGGAGTGGGCAAAGCCAGCCTAAGAGAGAAGTCAAAGGGGATATAACCTCTGGCAGTGCTGTAGGGGCAGGGCTGTCCAAGCCCTTTGGAGCCTGTATTTTGCCATAACTTGCTCTGGGTGCTGGACATGGAACTGCAAAATTTAATGTTTTGGGTTTTGGACTTGCTTTTGTCCCACTGGTTTCTATCCTCCTATTCCTACCTTTTCAAATGAGAATGTTTATCCTGTGCCATTGTATTTTGGTAGTGTTTAACTTTCTTTTTCTGTTGTTGTTTTTATTTTGTTTTATTTGAGACAGGGTCACACTATGTAGCCCAGGCTGGCCTCAAACTCACAATGATCCTCCTGCCTCAGGAATGCATCACCATGCTGGGCTAACTTTCTTTTTGATTTTTACAAGGACTCACAGCGAAGAGTTTCACAGCTAAGTTTGCCTTAGTCTCAGAGGAGACTTTGGACTTGGACATTTCAGCAACATTGAAACTGTTAAAACTTTAGCAACTCTTAGAGATGAACAAAATGCATTTTGCATAAAAAGATGCTCATGAGTCTTTTGGGGTGGGATGTTATGGTTTATATCTAGATGGCCCCCCAAGTCTCATGGGCTCAAGAGTGTCACAGGCTCATAGATAGGGCTTTTGAAAGGTGACTGGATTATTAGGGCATTGTAGTTGACTTGCTGTTAGGAAGTGGGGTGTGACCAGCAGGGTGTATCTCCCTTCCCAGCTCCTCCGATGACTCTCTCTGGTTCTTGGCCACCCTGCCATAAGCCAATTTTCCTCTGCCATCCCCCGGTGCCACGCTGTCCAAACTTGGTGCCAGTTGACTATAGACTAAAACCTGAGCCAAGATAAACTTCTTTAAGTCGTAGGTGTCAGGTATTGTGTCTCAGCAACAAAAAAGTAACTAAGATATCCACACTAAACTCTCACACTCTACAAACGTGTATGTGTGTGCCACATTTCTACACTTTGGGCAACAGGAATCCAAAGCAATTGCCATGGCCCCCTTCTCAGAGCTCCTGGGATAGCATCTAAGCCCCCTGAGAATCAGGGGACCTCTGATCTAACACATTGTATACATCATCACCTGCTTCAGAGGAGGGCCACACTGTCAAGTCCCCCTGATCTGACAGGTCAGCTGAGTAGGTGTGCAATGCCTTTTGAGGGTAGGACAGAGAAACCCAAAGCCTGCCCCTGACTCCTCAAACAAGAACATCACTCTAAGCTGGAGATGCCTACATGCAGGTCCCACCAAGCCTCCCAGTGTGACCGACTTGCACACTCCTGTGACACTCCTCTTCTTCTAGCCAGGTATCTTGAGACCTGACCCAAACTCCCAGCCCACTGGGTAGCATCAAATGGAACCAAGGGGCAGAACTGACACAAAATGGTTGTAACTGTTGCATAAGAACCAGGCAGGGGGGGCCGGGGATTTAGTTCAGTAGTTCTGGTGCCTGCCTCAAAAGGGTAAGGTCCCAAGTTCGATCTCTGGTACCAAAAAAAAAACTGTCCCAAAGAACCAGGCAGGGGCAGAAGCCATCTGGAGACAGAGAGCGCCGAGTTAAGGGGCAACCTGGGTATGGAAGAGCCTGATGCAGACACAAGCTAATCCCTGTCTGTCCTATCAGCCTCATTTTTTTTTTTTTTGGTACCAGGGAACGAACTCAGGACCTTGCACTTTCGAGGCAGGTGGCAGCACTACTCAGCTAAATCCCCGGCCCCCAGCCTCATTTTCTTTACTTATAACATGAGGGTTTGGCCTAGATAACTTCTGGTCTCTTTCAATCTAGAATTCTGAGCAGGGGCATCATAAGATATCCAATAGCTCTGGCTGCCTAGGTTCAAATCCTAGCTCTGCCACTTCTTGTAAGACCTCACAGGAGCAGCCTCTAGTGACCTTAACTTCTCATTTTAACATGGGAGGAAGAGGACACCGACTTGGGGGGTCTTGGCAGGTCTCAGTGAAGCCACACCTCTCTCACAGTGAGAGCTTAGGGAGCTCAAGGGGCTCCTGCCGACACTGCCCTCATGCTCCCAAAGGAAGTAAGTCCAGTGACCAGATATCCTCATCCCATTTGCATGTGGCCTTCATTCTGCAGGGAGAAGCCCCCATCCCCCTAGGCCCAGGAAAGTCCACATCATGCACATGCTGGTGGCCTCATGCCTGGTTTTAAGCACACAGTCAGTTGAACCTTGGCATGCCAAGCAGCAGGTACAGTACCTGAGACAAGATAAGGAAGGCAGACAGAAAGGAGGCAGACAAAGAGTTGCATGCAGTCACTGAGGGATGAGGAGCCAGCACATCCCACAACCGAGCAGCCCAGGCTGGCAGCACCAGCTCCTTACCTCCCTGGTAGGACCTCTGAGCACCAGGACCGTGTTCCCCCAAGAAGCCGGAGGCATGCTGGTAGGAGTAGAGAGCAGGAGACAGGAAGCAATATGTACCGAGCCAGGTTGACAGGAGAAAGACTGAAAAGGACACTCAGGGAAGGAGGCAATTGGTTCCGGGTGTCACCACAGAGACCCAAAAGACCCAAGTGGCAAACAATGGAAGATCACCCCAAAGCTGGCCTGTACCACAGGCACAGCGGGGAGTAGGGTACGAGCAAAGGGAGAAGACCTCAACAGACTGGACCTCCTGGATGGACACTGCCCTCCTGCAGACTGGCACCTGCTCTGCCCAGAGCAGCTAACCCAGCAGATCTCCTGGGATGCTGTGAACTTTGTAATGTGGAGGACCCAGGAACCTAGCTGGAACTTTACAAAAGCCTCTCCAGTCAGTTCTGGGGAGGGAGGGGGGAGGATGGTGCCCTCCAAATATGTCACTATTCCTGGGACGCAGATGAGAGAGGAGTATGTGTGTGTGCTGGGGATGGGAGGGCCAGCGTGACAGTGTGAAAGTCTTGGTTCCACCATGAATCTGGGTAAGTTCAGGTGAGGGTACAGATCCTCTCTGGGCCTCAGTTTCCCCATGTGTAGAAAATATCCCTATCTACATTAGAAAGAAACACATACTCTATCAGTGCCAGGTGCCAAATGCCTGGTGGCATTTCTAGACTTTCCCCAGGGGTTTGGTTTGTGCTGGAAAAGAAAGCAAATATCCAAGATTGTCAGTACAGCCTGGACAGAGGGGCTCTCAGGACCTCACTGCTACCAAGGCCCATCCTCAGGCCATCCTAGGGCTTACAGGTCTGAAAGCTCAAAATCTGAGAAACACACTTGGGGGCCAGTTCAATGGCACTCTTTCCACAGAAGGACCTTTCAAAAGTCCGGTTCAAGAAATGCCTATGTTCCCAAGCTCCCTGCAGAGTGCCCTTTGTCCTAGGAAGGCTGTGGCCTGTTTACCGCTGGATCTCAGCAGTGCCTCCCTGGGAATGACAGGCGCCTCCACAGCGCTGAGCACCAATGTACAGCTACAGAGCCAGCCTGACAAGGAGACGGCACTATTTTAAGTCTTTCTCAACCCAGTCTTACAACTCAGCTGACTCCTCCTGGACATGGGAACCCTGGGAGGCTATTCCTATCTTACAGATGAGTAAACTGAGGCCAAGAAAGGAAAAGAGGCTTGTTCCAGGGCACACAGCTGGGCAAAGGGCTGTGGACAGAACCTGGGCGAGAATCCGAGTCCTCTGAGAACCCTCCAGTTGTGCCGACCCCAGACACCAGTATGTGGGCCCAACCCAGGGTTGAGTGTGGACAGTGTCCTGCAGGCCTGCCCCTCACACTGCCTCCACTCCCCTTGGCTGCCACCAGGGGAGCGGAGAGGAAAGAGCTGGACATGTGTGAGGAGCCCAAGCCGGTGGTCGCAGCTACCTTTGATGACTAGTGCCTCTGACAGCAGCCGCATCTGATACAGAGGCTTGTTCTCCACAGACAGGTCATCAATCCCAGCCCGCGCGTACATGCTGATGGCATCTCGGTAGGAGCCCTCCACGTAATGCAGCTTGCCCAGGATCAGCATGGCCTCACACATGTACTGTGGCTGAAAGGACAGAGCCATGTTAGCAGCTCCACCCCAAGGCTTCCACCCACCCATACACAGTACCCTGAAATGAAGATCCCCACTGAGCCAGAAGCCATGATTTGCCTAAGACCTGGCTTCAAACTTCTTCCTCTTCCTCCTCCAGAAGCCTTCCCTGAGGTCCTCACTACCCTCTCTCCATACCTGTGCTCCATTACCACATTATGGCTCTGAATGAAATGCTTATGTGTCCCCAGTTGCTTTGTGTGTGTCTAGCATCCAGGTAGCTGCAGAATGGGCCCTGTCTCTCTCTTCTGAGGCCCCAAAGGCTCCTGCCCAGGCTGGCACTCAGGAATTCACACACTTATTCTGAACACAAGTGAGGAGGTTTAGGCACAGAGAAAGCTCTCGGCAGAAAAGCAACTTGTCAAACATATATGCTACAGCTCTGCAGGAAGCTGTGTGTTTGTGTGCACACACATGTTTGTAAATACACAAAAAAAGGCATGTGGGAACCACATCTAACAGTGACTAGTGTTCCACAGCAGGACAGGAGTCAGGGAGGGAAGGGAGCACTCAAAGATCTTTGTCACTCAAATTGCTTGTTTATTGATTTCATTTTCACAGTAGGCCTGAATTATTTATTTCAAAAAACATTTTAAAAAGTTAATAGAATTTATTAGAAAGAAACACAAAGAGGTCTTGGTGGGAGAAGTTTGGAACCCATTAATAAAGCCTAAACTTTCTGATAGGCAGATGAGGACCTGGAGGGCCCAGCAAGGTCAGGGGTCAAGCTCAGGATCAAGTAGCTACTTTAACCCAATGCAAACCTCACACTGTTAAAATAATCTCTGTCAAAGAGCTAGAAGCAAAAATCTTGAAGTTCCAGCATACTCTCTCCTGTCTCTCCACCCCTCTACTGCTTACAAAATAAGCCCCACATTCTTGGCTGCTGCTCAAGTTCCTGCTCTCTGGCCCCAGTGTACCCTCAGAACCTAATTACACACCATGCCCATTCACTTCTGTTAAACTAACCAGCTTTCACAAGATTATTTATAAGAACCCTTCAATCACATACCATTTTCTTGGCCTGAACTGCCCAGCCCTATCTCTGTATATCCATACCCCAGCCCCTCTTCCAGATCCAGCCCCCAGAAGAGCCCAATTCCAGTATTACCATCACCCCAAGTCTGTTCTCCAGCTCCTCCCAGGGAAGTGGCTCCTTGGACTCTCATATACACCATTCTCACAGCATGTGTCACAGTCCACTAGGGACAAAAACTATTCATTTGTTCCTAGGACTTATCTTCCCAAAAGACCTGCAACCTCCTAAGGGTAAGGTCCATGCTAGGTTCATCTCGGTCGCCCTCAGTGTGCTTAACACATTGCCCTGCACACAGCAGGTCTCAAGAAAATGCTTAAGGAAGTAAGTATATTACTTTAGAACATCTCTTGAAAACTCACTCTCTGTTTTCATCTATAATGACATACCCAAACCCCTTTTATAGCTCAGCATACACTTTAATCTAAAACAGTCTTAAACTTCGATACACACATGAATAACTGGGAAATCTTGTTAAAATACAGATTCTGATTCACATTTTGCCCTTCTAACCAGTTCCCCAGTGGTGCTCATGCTGCAGATGAGTGGATCACACTTTGAGTAGCAAAGATCTAGAGAAAATTGAATATACTCCCCTCACACCCTCCCTCAGTACCTTGTATACAACAGGCACTCAATAAATGCAGTTAGGCTTAAAATGGCTTGTCCTATTCTGGAGTTCTTCTGTTACTGGTCAACTCTGCATATGTGCCTGCTTCCAACTAAGCTCACTGAGGTCTTACTTCCCGAGAACACCCAAGAAGCCCAAAGAGCCAGGCACATCTAGGTCAACCAAGCACTATCCAACAGAAATATAACGTAAGTCACAAGCATAAGCTACATGTGTAATTTTTAAATTTCTAATAAAATTTTTGAGTCATATTTAAAAAGTTTAAAATTGTGAAATTTTAATAGCATTTTCTTTAATACAATATATTCAACTGATTATCACTTGAACATGTAATCAATATAAAAAATTAGTTCTTTCTCTCTCTTTTGTTTTTTAGTACTGCATATTGAATGTAGAGCTTTTGCACTGAGCAGGCCCTCCCCCTTTTGAGACAAGGTAACTAAGTTGCCCAAGCGGGCCAGAACTTTTGATCCTCCTGCCATAGCCTAAAAATTACAGGTATGCACTACCACACCTGGTTAAGTTAGTACTCTTTTACATTTCTTGTTTTACACCAAGTCTTTGCAATTATTCACACTCATTCACATCTCAATCTACACTAGCCACCCTGTAAGTGATAAATCACCCCATGTAGCTATGGCTAACATACTGAGCTGTGCAAGGCCAACCATTAAGACAGACTTGTTGCCCTGGTGACCAAGAGACTCAGGGAGGGCTGAGCCAGCAGATGGGAGTGAGGAGAGGAGGCTCCAGGCTTGCGGTCTGACAACTCACCGACAGTCGCCCGTGATTAAGGACACTGCTCAGATAATTCTTGGCTTCAATCATCCTGCTCTCATTCTTCTCCAGCAGGGGGATGGAGTCTTTTATTTTGCCTTGGTTCTCCTTCAAACACTGTTCCAGGAGGGCCTCAGCCAGCAGCAACTTCCCAAAGTCATCTGAAAAGCAAGGCATGGATCAGAATGGGCAGTGAAGGCAGCTCCTTGGAGAGATCCAAAGCCCATGTGGAGACTGGCACTACCCCTGGGTCCCCCAAACACTCCCACCCAGCATATGAATGGTGTACATTTTCCATAAACTTAAACAGCTTTTAAAAATCAGCATAGTCACAGTCCAAGTTGTCCCTTTGGGTTTGCTTCCTTCTATATTTTAATAGTTGAAAAGGCAGATTTTCTAGGACTGTGGACCAATTCCCAGAATTTCAGAATTTAAAATAAAGGACAAAGTCATACCTATTCCCTGCTGTAGATAATAAGTTCTTAAACCAAGAAGGAATTCTCCCCAAACTACTGAAGAGGAAAACTATATTGGGTAGCTTACTAATGCATTTTCCCAGGCTCCTAATGTCTGTGTAAACATAAATTGTTTTCTCACATTTTGAGGTATTTTAATGTGGCTCATGGATAACTGGCAGTCAAAGCAGCGTGAGGTGGAAAACCCAAGGACTGGTGGGTCCAGGCAAATGGTTGAACATAGTTTCTCCTGGCACTTTCCGGTGTTCTCTCAAACACAGAGCTCATCTGCATACCTCACCAACTGGCAGGGGGCTTCCCACTGCTTGGTTGAATTTGCTGCCTCCCTCTGCCACACAGAAAACTCCAGTCTCGTTACCACCATATTCCTGCCACATGCAGTAGAGGCGACTTGGGCATTTGAGCCAGGTGTTCAAGGTGCAGGGTTTGGGACCGAGTGTGGCTTCATAGCAGCCGAGGTGACTGCTCAGTGTCCCTCCCCAGCTAGCTCTGGGTGGGGACCAGGCCTTCCACTCAATGCAAGTGCTGGGCAAATACCTGTTGAATGAATCAGATCCTCTCAACCCCTCAAAGAAGAAGCCATCAGGATCAGCGAATAGAGTGCCTACCCAACACAATCTCTTGAGTTGTCTGCTCAAGGCTATCTTTTCAGTTTGCTTTGCATCCAGGATGCCTCTCCCTCCTCACCCTTAGGATCTCCACTGTTTGCTCATCTCAAAGCCATGGCCCAAAACTGCACACTTTCAAGGAGGAATTTCCTCCCTTTGGGAAGACTCCTTGCAGAGAGCGGCCCTAACTCCAAGAATCCCGAAAGTACGATCCCAGGAGGTTTTGGCTCTGAGAACATCGGTTATGGTATCTTTTGCTACCTACCTCATGATTTTGAAAATTAACCTTTTGAGGAAATACCCCTAAAAGTACCTGGTACAAACTCTGATCCATTGCTATCAGAGCATAAGTGCGTAGAGCCTTTCTAAAGGGCTATCTGGTAACAGATCAATCTTGTTTCTGTACATCCCCACTGGTCCAGCAAACCCACCTCTACAGATGCCCTTGCACACGTGCAAAATGATCTGTGTATAAGATCTTCCTGCAGCATTATTTATACCAGCAATAAAATAGAGACAGCCTTCCTGTCCATCAGGAGGCTAATTAAAACATGGAACATGCGGGCCGGGGATTTAGCCCAGTGGTTCTGTCGCCTGCCTCGCAAGCGCAAGGACCCAAGTTCGATCCCCCGTACCAAAAAAAAACAAACATGGAACATGCATAAAAAGGGACACCATGCAGCCATGAAGAGGAATGAGGACACTCTGTATGTGCTTTTATGGAACATACTAAGAGATCAACTGTAAAACAGCAGAGTAATATGCTACTGTGTCTTCATGCATACACATATGTGACAGCACACACACACACCCACACACACACACACACACACAGAGACACGTGCACCATGACCATAACAGAAAAAGCAAAAGCTTTCCACTCTACTTTTTTGTACCTATGGAATGTTTGAACCATATAAGCATATTATCTAATGAAAAGTAAATTTAAATCAAACCAGCACTGACAGGCAATCTATATTTCCAAATCTCAGCCAGGAGGAGGGGCAACTGCCTAGCAGTTCTCAGTGACAGCCTGAGTCTACCCCCTCGGCACTAGAGGCACTAGAGATTCTCACTCTAGGCTGCTTTCAATCAGTAAAACGAAGGGTAGGTCTGGGCATGGCGGTGCTCACCTATAATACGAGCCCTCTGTCTCCAGAGGCAGGAGGATTGCAAGTTTGAGCCTAGCTTAGGCAATTTAGTGACTTCACAACAACAACATGAAAAACCAAACCAGAGCTTAGGGATGTAGCTCAGTGCAAAGGTCTAGAGTTCAATCTCCAATACAGAAACAAAAACAAAAACAAAAACCCAAGGTAGGCTTAAAAGTATGCTTGCTTCTAGGAAGGGAAACGAAAACCAGGCCCTAGGGTCCGCCCCTAGGCAGGTCCCGCCCCTTTGCCCCAGTGCCTTTCCAGCCTAGAGAATCCAGCTTCCTTCTTTCCCTCTTTCCTTCAAACAACCCAGGGTCCTCTGAACCCAGGTGCTGTGACCCAGTCCCTAGGGGGCAGTGAAACCTGGAGTGTACATACGGTACAAGAAGGGAGTGGACTGAATAATTTTGAATCTGGTGAATATAAGGATAAATAATTGAGAAGGTAGCATTTTGCATATTTTTCTTTTGCCTTTCTGTTGCCTCATTTATACTGTATTTTATGAAAATATCAAAGCACAACAGATTGGGGATTTAAGCAAAATAAAACAAAATTGATTCCTCACCACAGTCTCTTTGAGAAGCACTGCTCTAATCCCTAAGAGTGACCTAGTCTGTGAAAGGAACACTAGTATTTGTTGAGGGCTTACAGAGCACCAGGCACTTTATTATGTATTTTTGTTAACCTGCACAGCCCTAAAAGGTAGATATTATTACTATTTTATAGACAGAAATAAACATAAGAAATTTTGTTAGGGTCACAGACAATAACATAGCCAAAGTATAATCTGTCTCTCCTGCAACCATGCAGACCAGAGCTTCTGAGAAATTAAAAATCAACAACAGTCTATGAACTGTGAAGAGTAGGCTGAAAGCTAATAGTAAATCCCAGGGCAGGGACAAGAATTGTTCTCACTTTCAGAGACCTAGGAGCTTCAGATTTTTTGTTCACAGACACTTCCTATCCTTGCAGTGTGGAGACTTTCTCCCTAGGGTCTCAGGCTGCATCTTCGTTTAGTAGACCCTCAGCAGATATCAGAAATTCACTTTCTTTTCTTCCTTCGCGTACATTTTCAGGATGTTGGGAAATGGGAAGAAAGTGTTCAAGTGGGAAGAGGAACAAGGGAGGAGGGAAGGAGAAAGGAAGGAAGGGACAAGAAAAAAAGTGAAAATAGAAGGAAAAAATGGAAACAAAGCTTTTGTACATAGGGAGGGAAGAGGGCTTGAGGCAGGGAATGGGATAAAATAAAATAAAATTTGTTTTTTAAAAAAGTTCTACATTTTCAAAGCTGGGTATGGTGGTGCATACCTGTAATTCCAGCACTCTGGGAGCCTGAGGCAGGAGGGTACCAAATTCAAGCGCAGCCTGGGTAATTTAGCGATTTGGTAAGACCCTGCCTCAAAATAAAAAAATAAAGGGCTAGGGATACAGCTCAGTGTGATGGGCCTAGGTTCAATCCCCAGTACTAAAAAAAAAAAAAATTCTAAATTTTCAGTTGTTAAGAATCCAGATGACTAAAAGCATCTTCATCCTCCCAAAGGCCAAGAAAGTTGCTTCTTAGCATCCTGTTGTCTGAAGCCTACCCCCGTCTATCTTGTCTCCTCCCAGGACAAGGACTGCACAACAGACAGTAAAGCGACAAGGGGGCCCAGCATGTTCTCCTCAACCCTGGCCTCAGAAGAGCCTCAAAGGAGGCCTGACTTGGTGGCTACTCAGTCTCCTCCACAGCTACTTTCCTTCCCCTCCAGGCCTCTCAGGGTGCCTGGTCCCAGAGGCCCACCAGGAGGTCACCTGCCTCCTGCCCAGGCCTCACACAGTCCTTCTCTCTCCATGCCTACCAATGTCCCTTAGGACAGTGATGACGAAGCTTTTGGAGACCGAATGCCAAACTGCAACTCAAAACCCACTATTTATCGCAAAGTGCCAATGCTGCAATTAAACCTGAACACTGAGGTTTCAGTTTAGACAAAACAACTCTCCATTAACACACCACTGCTTAGGAAATGTGGTCCAGCCAGCCCTGTCCCACCAGGTCAGACAGGCACAATGGTTCCTGCAGCTGCTGCCCCAGGCTGCTGGGGCCTTCCAAGCTCAGCCAGGGGAACAGACCCAAATGCTACAGAAACTCAAGAGGCCACCTGCCTCCAACACGTCCCTGCCAAATTAAACTGTAGAAACAATCTCCAATGTTAAAAAAAAACATCAGCTAAAAATAAAATGAAACAAAAAAAGTGACTAGAGACGAAGAGAGACTCGAGAGAGACAGAATCCAGGTGGGGCAGGCAGGTGTTGAATGCAAATTTTTTTGATCTCTGTTTTATGTTTGAAATTAGTAAAATATTGGAAATGGGTCCAACTCAAAAACCAAATGTAATTTGTGGCCTTACTCAGATTCTGACTCTTGACAAACTATCTGTAAATTTTGTTGTTGTTGTTGTTAAGGTCTTGCTACATAGACGAGGCTGATCACGAACTCACAATCCCCATACCTCAGTCTCTTGAGTGCTGGGATTACAGACCCATTAGGCCTGGGAAATTGCTAGGTTTTTTAAGAAGTAATAATGGTATGGTGGAGCCAGGTGTGATGGCACATGCCTGTGATCCCAGCCCTTGGCAGGCCAAGGCAGGAAGATCACCAGGAGTTTGAGGCCAGCCTGGACTACACAGCAAGCCCCGGTCTCAAAAAACAAAACAAAACAAACAAATAAATGTATGATAGTTATAATTTTTAAAAAATTCTTCCCCGGTACCACACACACACAAAAATTCTTATTTAATAAATACATCCTAAAATACTAAAGTGTGGAGCTATAGTCAAACAAGATAGCTCATGAGTTCATAGTCAAGCTGGCTATTATTAGATAGAGTTCATTCTTCTCTTTTTAAAAATGTTTTAGAAATTTTTCATAAGTTTTTTTTTTTAACCACTTAGGCTCCTTGGATTGTTTTTTTGTTTTCACTTCTGTTTTGCGGCACTAGGGATTGAATCTAAGGCCTTCACACTGAGCTACATCCCCAGACCTTTTTATTTTTTATTATGAGACACTCTGCTAAATTGTCTAGGCCAGGCTCCCACTTGTAATCCTCCTGACTCAGCCTTCCAGAGTGCTAGGATTAAAGGGGACTCTTTGTTTTTACATAAATAAACTCCAACAGCACCAGCCATGCTCTGAGGTTCCCCTGCTTCATCCTGACCAAATCTAAACCGGATGTACATCTGAAGAAAACACACAGCAGTAGTAACTACCTTCCCCGGGGTGGTGACAGAAGCCTGCCCCAACAGGAAGAGTGTATAGGAGCCTGTTGTGCTTCAACATCTCCTGATCCTCCATACCACCCACTAGGGACCCTCACAGCTCCATCCTCATACCCTTTGGAGTGGAATTTATGCTCTGGGGGCTAGTTTTAGTTTCTGTAGAAACGTCTAACACAGCAGGCCTCAAGGCCTCCGTAAAATGGGGTTCACTGGGATCAGCTGCCTCCCTGAGTACCTTCCCCACTTCCTCTGCATTATGTGACTGCTGAGGCTTTGGGCCACTGACTGGAAAGTCTAACAGGCCAGGGGACACTGAGAGTCTCCCTCCTGGGCCACAGAGGGGGGTTGGCACTAACACCTTAAAAAAAATAGGTTTTTGATTTCTTGAGTGATCAAGGAGCCCCTCAGAGACAGTACAAAAATAATAGTCAACCCCAAATGCTGTGTGTGGGCTTTGGAAGTCACTGGCTTTCTTTTTCTTTTTTTAATGGTTTACTTTTTTTTTTTGCTATCATTTGTTTTTTTATGTTCTTTTGTAGGACATTCTAATTACTTTATTATTTTTATATATTTTTATTAGTACATGTTTGCAGAACATAATGATTATATTCATTATGAGGGGTGAGTACATGTACATAACACATCTTAATTCTTTTTTTAGCCCTTCCCCTCCCCCCTTTCCCTCCCTGGTTTTCTTTCCTTTCGTTGGTTTGTGTGCACACATGTGTGTGCATGCATGTTTGGGGGTAGTGTATCTGGATTTAACAATGAGAGAAATCACTCACAGAACCAAACCCCAAATTGGCAGGAGAGACCCCAAGTGCAGTGTGTCCCTCCTCACACTGGCCAGTCCCCACAGTGAAGCTCGCCCAGGCTCCAGGCCCTCTCTCCACCCTGAGAAGGTTGGCAGGGACTTAGGCTGAGTAGAGGCTTTACCACATAACATTATGTGACCTCTAGTGGCTTTGGTGTCCCCACATCTAAGACAGGAACAAATCCCCTGTCCTCCTCACAAGAATTTTAAAAATAGAGACAACACTTTATACCACTTTTACACCCTGTGCTGTTACAGGGTTTCCCAATGATGTTCCATAGAATATGGTCAAATTGAGAAACATGGCATTTATACCCTAACCTTAGCTTGCATATCATACCAGGTTGGGCAGATTAAGAGAGGTTCCATTGTTTTCTCTCTCTTGGGTCCAGCCTGTTATTGGCTCTCTGGATTTCAGATTCCCACACCTACCCAGAAACCAGTAACTCCTCACCCGATTTCTTCCGCCCTGGAAAAAAGGCTCACCTGATTCTCCCAACATGCACTTCTAGCTCTGCCCAAGCCCCTACTGCCAGGCTCAGAGGTACACCAGAGCCTCAAACAGACCTTCCATCCCTGCCACTAAGCCCCCCCGGGGGGGGGGCGGCTCCATCCTTCCTCCCCTCTGGGCCAACACACCCTACTCTCCCTCAAATACCAGGCAGGGGCCAGTGCCAGCTCTGTCACTTTCTCTGAACTCCACAATTCAATACCAACTACCCTGAGACCACCTCCCAGCCAGAGAGGGCACAGCCAAGGCAGGATCCTGTGCAATGAGTCTTTGTGAAGTAATTGCCCAAATAAGTAGAAGGTTGTACTCAGATACCTGGGTTCAAATCTTGTTTCCAAAACTTAGTGGCTAGCTGGATATGGTGCAAAAGCCTGTGATCCCAACCCTTGGGAAGCTGAGAAGGAAGATAGCCCTCATCTAAAAAAAACAGCAGCTAGCCAAACAAAAAACAAAAACAAAAACAAAAACAAAACAAGACAAAAAAACAATGGCAGTATGGTCATTTTGCTTAATTTCTCTGGGACTCAGTTTCCTTATCTGTAAGGTGGGCAAACAAGGGCAGTAGTGCTGGCTGTCACTACCATTACCACCCTTTTCCAGGCTGGGCAGCTAGATCTGCCCCCCCCCGCCCCCGCTGCAGCAAAGGACCCCTAAGGCTGTGCACACGAGGGCTCCCCGGACCGAGAGGCGGCCACCAGGAACAGGACCTGGTACTGGCACCTGGGCGGGTATTCCCGCGCCCCATCGGGTGTCCTGCCGCCCAGCACAGGAGCCTAGCCCAGCCAAACCAGCCCTGAGAGCCTCCCACTCAGTCCGCCACAGACGAGGAAACTGAGGCTCGCCAGGCTTCTTTTCCTAGCTCACCACCCTCCCCAGGCGCTCGGTACCCCCTCGTCTGCTGCGGACGGTGCTCGGGTTTCCACTTTACTTGGGGAAAAGAAGGTCGGAGCAGACACTGCTTCCACCGAGTTTAGGGAGCGAGGCTCCAGCGCTTCCGGAAGATGGGGGACCCCGCGACTCTGAAAGCAAGGGCACCCACCCCGCTCTGGCTCCAGCTTCGGCCCCGCGGGAACCCGCGCCTCGCACTCACCGGCGTCCGGTACGGCGGGCCCGGGGTCCGGGCCGGCTCTACGCCCCCCGCTGGGCGCACGCAGCTGCCGGGCGAGCTCGGGCAGGCGGCCCCAGCGGCCCTCGGCGCGGCAGCGCTCCAGCTCGCCCTCCGCCTTCAGGTGGGCGCCGTGTGCGCCCTTCGCAGCCATCTTCGCGCCCGCGCCTCGGCCGAGCGGGGCAGCCCCGGCC